GGAAATCATTCGTTCTTTCAATCACTTTTACAATAATACATTGCTTGGTTGACAGGCTCGCCATGGTGCGAGTAGGAGTAATATTATAATAATATTATAATAATATTATAATAAGCTTACTTTAAGCTTACATTGAAATAAGATTCTTTTTGGAAAGGTTATGGTAGGCCCGCAGAGCTTTAAATCGCAAAGATCTAGATCTGAGGGGCACAGACACTACGTCCGTCACCCTAAGACATAACTTGACAAGTCCCATGTGCCTGTAATTTCACCAGCACCCTTACCCTTCATAACCGGAACACAGTTATGCTGACATTAGTGCTTGGCGGCAGAAATAGGTAAGGTGGCAGTACTACCCTGGACGAACTACTACTTAATCGAATCCGGGTTTGCACCTCTGACTTTTCGGGGTTTCGGTCAAGGAAAACATCGGGATGAAACCTTGTGACGGTGTGACCTCCTTACACCGCCATCTCAACTTTTTGTAACGTATCATTTTTTTTTGCTTGTATTTAAATTTTAAATTTGAATTGTTCCATCTTCCTTCGCTTTCTCATTTTGCTTCGTACCACGGTGACTCTCTCCGCGATCGCGGTAGCGAAAACATCTACTTTCTTATTTTTGAACCGTTTACATTTTAAGATATTAATATTGTTGTTGTACTGAATAAATTACTATAAACCGGACTTTCGTCTTTTCAACTGCTAAAACTTGCTAAGTAAGACGTATGGAGGCTGTGGAGGCTGCGGAGGCTGTTACTACCCTTAGACCAGGCTATATTACTGCTATCCAGGCTATTTTACAGTCTACAGAACGCTACCAGCACCAGCAGCGTCATTACAACATGAACATCGAGGAAGGGTGGTGGACCCTTGGAAAACGTGTTGAAGTCCCAACTCGCATTGGGCCAGTGTGGCGGAATATGGGCTAAACCCTCGCCAGAAAGGAAACCCGTGTCCAGCAGTAGTACGTGGGTACCTTGAAGTCAAAAGCTCGCAATATGCTTGATATTCAACAATATGGTACAAAGAAACAATGAAAAACAAGTTTCAACAATTGTTCATGTAACGCTCCAACAAAAACAATGCGTTGTAATAACGGTATTGTTGTGGTCAGTACAATAAACTAGAATTCATTAGAGTAAAAACGTAAAAAGGTCACTATCTGCAAAATAAGTACTCTTTAGGAAAGAGCATTGACTTACAAATAAATGGACGACGGGTCTAATACAAAAACCACGAAAAAATGTCCCAAGTCAACCTATTCGAAATTTAAATTGTAATGTCATCGCAGTATCGCGCTGTCAGTCGAACAAATGAAGACTAAAGCGGAGTTTGGCGCTCTGTATACGATTTTAGCGCCTTACAAGTGCGGACACTTTTTAGCGCGGACCCGACGTCCATATAATTGTAAGTCAATGGGAAAGAGGATTAAAGATTCTACAAACGAAATTAGTCGATACCATTTTTATGCTAAAGTAGGAGATTTGTGAAGTGTCAGACACGAATACCAATTTCTCTGTCTCAAAATAGGGAATTCCCTGTTCTGCGAGTACCAGAGCAACGAAATCAACTCGGGGAATGTTTCCCCTGGATATTTCCAGAGCACGCAGACCAGAACCAATTCTAAAAAGTTGCACGAGTATTTTTTTCAATTGTACTTAGTATGTTAAATAATTTATCTAAAATATCGTTTCCAATATTGTACCCGTACAAAGAATAGTTTATTTGCGCCATTATATATGCATATACAACGATTTTCGTAGAAGTCGATGAACGTTTTCAAAAATATTTTAAGACAGAAGCACGTTAACCCTTAGCGCTAGACCCGGCAAACTAAATGTATTTGCAGGATGAGGCCCGTTCCGCCCGACTCCTTTCGAGTACCTCGCCGTTGCTGTACCTGTATAGTTTGTAAAACTGCAGTATTGCCAATGTCTATTTTTTATATAAAAAAAAGTACTGCAGTTTGAAACAAAGCGCTTACAAGCTAGTTACTTATACGGTTTACAGATTTGCTACGTTAGATTTCCTTTATCCATAAGTTTGCTAGTAAAAGGTGTCAGCATCTTAGACCTCACAGACAATTAACACACATAATTCTTCGGCGCAAACAGATCGACTCTGCTCTGTGTTTCGTGGTTGACCAATTACTCCGCACTCCGTACAAAAATAAGGGTGTTACCATACTAATCGATCTATAGTCGATCGATGGTTAAAATAAGACGAGTCAACGTCGATTGTTACCGCACTACCGATGGATGATTGAATGAGATGTGCGAATGTCAAAATCTTTTTGCCTCTTCTGTAGGGCTATATCATTTACATACATACATACTATATACATTTTAAAAGCTACTGGGGAGAGCCCACTTTATTGAATCATAAAGTGTTCGTCGATCGACAATTGTTACACAACAACCGATCGACGTTGATCGATTGGTGTAGTAACACCCTAAGTTTTTTCTGTAAGTACTGAGTATTTGTAAACTTTCATAGAGTTCTTTCTATCAGGAAATTGTATTTAACCTCATAAGGGTTCCAGATAGTCACGCTAAATTCTATTGGCGACTATATCCACTTTCCGCCTGACTGTGTTGCCTCATGTTCAAATGTCGAATGCCCATTACAGGTGAATGCTCCCACTGGGGTCGTGCTTTTTAATCTTCATACCCGCTCGTTTATTCTCGGCATTTTTAACCTGGTCGGTTTAAGGACATTACTAATATGGTAGAGACGTGTACGCTTTGGCCAACGATTCCCCACGTTCCCATTGAGAACGTTAATATAATATGAGGTTTAAATTTATACGAGCAATCCCTGAATATCTGACCTAAATGAAATACCGTTGGCAATGTGAGTTTGGCGCACATCTGCATTGCAGTGAACCGAATTGCCTCTCAGTTGCCTTTTGGGTGTTAAAATATTCATTGCCTATTTCTGCCGCCAAGCGATAATGTTACCTTTGCTGCGTTTTGGTTTTGAAGGGTAAGGGTGCTGGTGAAATTACAGGCGCATGGGACTTGTCAACGTATGTCTCAGGGTGACGGGCGCAGTGGCCGTGCTCATAAGAACTTTGCGATTTAAGGCTCTGACTGGAACTGCAACAGTTATGGACAGGCGTGTCGCTTACCACCATGCGCACAACTTGTTCGTCCCGTCGCTTGGTTTATAAAAAGCTGCTGTACACTGTTGAGGAGTTTCTCTCATCTGTCTGCCAATTGTATCATCAAATCAGTTTTAGGTCACCATAACATTTTCTTTGGAATTACATCTATTACATTGACCTCGACTCGTGTACTCCAACTACTTCGCCTGACGAAGTACGACGTCCAGTCGACTCGCCGTTTACACCGAGTCGTCTGCCGCCCTCGGCAGTATAAAGAAAAAGAAATAAGCAAAGGAGAAAAAATAATAAAAATTCTTCTCTATTCTTGTAAACACTTCTCTGACACATACTTCCAACATACTCGCATGTAATTCACCAACATTATACACACTCATAGATTTCTCATAATGGCGCTACGACTAAAAAGTCCTTGAAAAACCAAATACAAAGACGCGACGCAAACCCTTCCCGGTAAACAATTTGAATAAAACTTGGCAAATAGATGTAATTCCACGAATTTTTGAGGTCGGTTTTTTTACTCTTTGCTGAGATTATTTTATATCAAAACAGTACTTGTTTTAAAACAAGACTCGCATTATGATCTACAAAAAGAATTTTAAAAGTACTATCAACAACTAACACTATTGTGTTTTTCAATTCAAAATAGTAACTATATTTACATTTAAAATTAAATTAAGAAAACAACTGTTCGAAAATAAATCGTTTCTGCGATGTTACATAAACATTTTGTCTTATTTTCAAGGTCATCCTTAATTTACCAATATGGCCTACGTGACGTGATGTTATAAAATTACAGTCAACGGATATTACTCAAGACTTATTAATTATCGCATCCATTATCGTCGGTTCACGCAACTTTGCGGTCCAACCGGTCAAATTTAAGCGCCCTAAAGATAATATTATTATCAATTAACAACATGAACGTTTGTTTGTTTAATAAAAATAGCTTTTCTCTTTGTGTTATTCGCATAGTTCGGGGAAGTTATCGACACGGAATCGCATTAAGTTAAGCAATAAAGGCAAGAGCGACATCGTAGATATCGGCTTCTGCCGTTTGAAATCGATACCTATTGGCGCCATTTCTACCTTTAGTCTCTCGTTCTCGTAGCTTCCAGAATTTACTTCACGATAAAAAAGGTTCCTTCTTTGTGACAATAATATTATTGACTATTTTGACGACATACGTGGTCGAGTGGCTTGTACACTAGTTTTTATGGCGTCGCTATCTCTAAAGTCCCGGGTTCGATCCCAGGCCGGGTTAATGTAGTCTTCAATATTGTCCCGGGTCTGGATGTTTGTGGCACCATCGTTGTTTCCGATTTCCATAGCACAAGTGCTTTAGCTTCTTACTTTGGGATCAGAGTAATGTTGTTGTGTCTAATATAAGATTCTAATATTGACTACCGCGTGGCCTAGCGGTTATTACTAAGGTGCTATTGAGGTTGTCCAGGGTTCCATTAACTCCATTCAATTTGGAAAACGATCTTTTCAAAATTGGTTCTGATCTGGCTGTTCTCGGCAGTGCACAACGGGAAGTGAGCGTGCCAACAGCTCCGGTACCTATCTGTAAAATGGCCTATTCCATTAGTCCCTACCAGTTGTCCTGTCCGACCTAAATAGGGAGGATACTGTAGGTGCACCCGTCAGGGCAGCTCACCCAAGACTGCTAGCCTTTTGAGAACCGGATAAAGTCTGAGTAAACGGGCTGATCTGGGAACAGGACCTGACTGATAAGGTCCCTGTGTAGGCTTGCTTGCACAGTTTATAGCACCCTTCTCATATACCCTAAAGGTCGGCAGGAAGGATCACTATAAACAAAACTTATGAATGTCTCGGAGTAATTTAGTTCGGAATATATCTAAGTTACTCACCATTGTAACCTATAGGCTGGTTCTCCTGTAGCTTGAAGGTGAAAGGAATGTGGACCCGCTGCATGAGCAGCCGTGGGGGTTGGATAGCTCTACGCCACGCGTCGTCGCGACCTTCCCCCACGATGCCTATTACTTCCATGTTCCTGCAAGAAATGAGCATATGATCAAGTCCCATTGTATACAACTACAGGTAGTACAGACAAGGGTTTGCTCACAAGAAATAAAATTAGAGTCTCTTTAAAAATATATAGGATGTGGTCCAGCTTACTTTAGTTTATAAAACGTGACGAACAAGTCGTGCGCCGGTGGCAAGGGACACGCCTATCCATAGCAGTTGCAGTTACACTCAGAGTAAATCGCAAAGATCTGAGGGGCACTGCCACTGCGCCCGTCAACCTGAGACATAAGTTGACAAATACCATGTGCCTGTAATTCACCAGCAACACCGGAACGTAGTAAGCCTGCCTTTCCACCAGCGATGTGCGACGTAGCGAGGGGTATGCGAGGAAAAAATCCACCAATAGGATTACTTCGTTTTGTACTTACATACAAAATAGCGAGATGTGAACGAGGATTTTGTGCGAGGAATGTGTGCAAAACGGTGTAGGAAACTAGAGCTACTGAAAGTATGATACTAACTGACATTGACACATCGCCACTGCTTACCCCACCACACCGTACCCCGTCCGTGCGTAGCTGAAAAGAGTCCGTAACGCATCCTCGTACCGCGCCGCTGTACATCCTCTCACTAGCTACATCGCACAGCTTTAGTGGAAAACGTCCGCCGCTACTAATCCTCGCCGCCAGTCTCATTGCTTAGCGGCAGAAATAGGTAAGGTGGCAGTACTTGCCTGGATGAACTCATTAACGAGAAGCTCTACCTGCTACTAAAATATTATAATAGCTTATGGATTTAACGGAGGAATTGATCCTGGTAAGGATCTGTCGTTAATTACCATGAAAATAATGAGAAAGGTTTGGTTAAATTTCCGGTAATTATTAAATGTTATTTGAAATTATTTCCTATGTACATAATAATACCATTTTTATGACTCCCCAAGCCACGTAGTTTAAATAATGATATTTTCATTCGTTGTCAATTAATCTAATTATATGTTTAAACGATTATCATAATGGTAGTTACTAGAAATTATTAATTAATTGCTTCTAAATTGTCTCCTGTTGCGTGTAGTAAATTAATAGGTACGTTGTATTATTTGATGCTGCGTGTAAATAAAGCATTATATTGCATTCATTGTTTTTTTCACTCTGCCGTACCTTTGGAGGTCAAAGATAATTGACATATATATAACTTTTAAATAAAATCTATTACACAATTTTATAGTTAACTAGCTGGTGCCCGCTACTTCGCCTGCGTTGAATAGACAATTTGAGTAGCCTACTGTACTACTTACTTGAGAAATGACATGTATACAAAGTTTCATCCCTTATTTAAGATTTATTTCTGTGACAAAAAGTAACTTCTTAACTTCTACCCAGCTAGGTAATTTTCCGAATAATTTAAGAAAAATTGGCAAAATACTGGAAAAATATAAATCGTAGGTTCACACTGCGTTCTTCATTTAGAAAAATTTTCAAAAACTTCAAAGTTTTATTTAGCGCGAATTATATAATAGAATTGTGTAGTTAAAAACCAGATATAAAATGATTGGTCAACGTCAAATGTGGAAAGATATTGAAAAATATCCGAAAAAATATATGTTTTTCTGAAAAATCGATATCTCCAATGAACACTACTTAACTTAATTTTTGGATCTGTTCTGTTTTTATTTTGTTACTTTATATTTCTTCACACAATTGGTTTTTTGTTTTTTAATCGAATTTTGTCACTTGTTTCTATATTAGTAAATAAATATTTCTCAAACATGCTCGGAAATTTTGCATTACTTTCAAAAATCGAACACGGAAAGTTTGTTATTTACGGACCATGCGACTTCTTCCCGGCCAAGGCCAGCAACGTAGTATGAAAATCCACTACTGTCCTCTTCTCTAAATGCTTAAATCTACTTACTAATAATGAACGATGTAAACAACAACCAAAAGAAAAACTCATACAACCAACTGCCGAATGTTCATAATTGCGAGTATTAAAAATACATACTTGTACCGCTTACTTGTAAAAAAAGAAAATAGCGGTAACATTTAAACTAAAGTGTTTTGGTATTCGTTTGTCTTTTCGTCTTTTTTTTATTTTGGTCGCGAAAATGAGTGCTAGTGAGAAGAGCGATAACGAAAATATAGTAATAAATACACATTAAATCACATAATTAGAAGTTCAGCAGACTACTATTAATGTTCCTGGAAAAACAATGACTTTTTCTTTTAGCAATTGTAGTAAACACGTGAAATATTACTTATAGTATTTTTTTTATTTTTTCTATGAAACATTTTCCTCTCTTTAGTCTTTTACTATTTCCTCACATTGTTTGAGAAAAATTCTATACATGCCTCGCGGGAACGCGGATTGCTTGACTCTTATTAATACAAGTGCTCGCTAGCGCACGTCCTTGTAACTCATACTCGTACAGCAATCCCTTACTTCCCGGCCTGTGCAATAGTGTACCATTGGTGTTTACAAAAATGACTGATTGACAGAAGTTGGCGTAGCGTTCATTGGAGGTATCGATATTATACTGCTGCCTTCGTGGCCAAACGGTCAATCCAGGTCTACCACGCAGAGATCCCGGGTTCGATTCCCGGGCCGGGAGAAATGTTTGTAAGGCCTACATTACATTTCTCTCGTGAATTTAGGTGTAATTTGGGATGGTCTATGTGGTCTATGTGGTAACCTGTCACAAAGTCGAATTTATTTTTTCCGAAATAAGTTTTTATTTCAGGACATGTCGGATGTTTATCGCAAAGACACTATTAGGTTCGGTTAGATTAAGTTAGATTTAAAAGAAAATACATTTTCCTCTCAAAATTACTTTCGAGGTTATGAAAATTCGAGCTAACGTTATTTCTGGAAAATGTCGTTTCGGACTTCTGATAGGTAATCGTCTATGTGTGTGTCCATGGCACCCGAGACACAAGGATTTCCTTCTGCGGGGCTACGAGTGTGAGCGTTACTTATTGTTACTTATTATATTTTAAAGACAAAATCTTTGATTGGTAATACCACAGACAAAACTAGAAATCGTATACCATAATCTTAATTCGTTAGTGGTGAGAGTGCCGACTGTACATCTGTCGACCTTGAGGAAGGAAGAGTTTTGGCCGAAGGGTGTCATATATCGACGATTCCGCGGCCGGTTACCTGACACCAGATTGCACTACACGTCGCGACAAGTGCAATTCGGGTAGATTAGTTATTTAGTTTATTATATTGTTACATTGTATGTTTGTTAGTCCTAAAGGTATATTTCATATGGGTCATGTCGCCTGAATTAAATGTATAAACCGAATAAACTGTACTATCTAGACAGGCCGTACCAAATATTATTATAATTCTTATTCGTCCCGTTACTTGGCATAAAAAAATTTGATTATGCATTAAAGACCTAATAAAAGCAATAATATTTAAAAAAAATCAAAACATTTTTATCACACAGTAATAAAAATGGAAAAAAAGGAAAAAGTTTTAAGTTTATCATAAATACCTATAAAAACATTTCAATCAACAAACATACTCGTTATGACATAAAACTAGGACATAACGGCTATCGTAATATCAACACAGATTAGAATTATCAAATAGCATTCATTTTTTTATATACCATCGTCACCACAGTGTTGATGGAAAAGTTCATTGAGCCGTGGAATATAACAATTAAACTTTGTTTATACGGTTCTAAGGTGAATCCTTCCTACAGTCAGTGAGTGCAGTAGAGCTTCTTATGGAAGAGTTCCTCCAAGGAAGTACAGTGTCAAGTAGTAATGTAAGCATTAGTACGTTCCGGTTTTCAAGGGTGAGAGTACTAGCGAGGGTACTAAACTACAGGTAAGGCTACATCAGTCCGGGTGTGTCCGGCTTTTGGACTTTCTGTCAGGATTTGTTATTTCTCCCCATAAAGCACGGGGTAACAAAGTTCTGAAGAACTGTTAAGATGTTGAGTTGGTACTCTCAACACAAATTAATTAAAATTCACCTTGTGGCGGGCCTCTTATATTTCAGGCTGACGGGCGCGGTGTCAGAGCTCCGTAGATCTTTACGATTTAAAGCATTGAGTGGCACTGCAACTGTTAAGAATAGGCGTGTCGCTTTCCACCAGGCGCATGACATGTTTGTCCCGTCACTTGATATCATAAATAAAAAATTGCGAGTCAGGAAACAAGGTTAGAAAAAGGTGTACTTATCTATTGCAACGAGCACAGCGTGCCTTCCTAACTTTGAAAGGTATTCGTTAAATAAATATAGTTTTTATTCACCAACACAAGTCTTTAATTAAAAACTTTGTTCATCACCATCGAGCCATTATAGATCCCACTGCTGAGCATGGATATCCTCTAAGGAGAATTGCTTTTGTAAGTCCAGTAGGGCTAGCACGACAGGGCGCGACTTGCGCGAAGCGACATAAGGCACGGGATCTGTATGTGACAATAGATGTTGTCTCGAGCTTTATGTCGCACTTGCGCAAGTCGCACCTTTGTTGTGCTAGCCCTTTTTTTATAATACCAAGTGACAAGACGAGCAACCTGGTGGTAAGCGACATCCACAACAATTCCAGTGCCACTCAGAGCTTTAAATCGTAAAGATCTTAGGGGCACTGCCACTACGCCCTTCACCTTGAGACATAAGTAGACAAGTTCCATGTGCCTGTAATTTCACCAGCACCATTACCCTTTCAAACTTGGCGGCAGAAATAGGTAAAAAGGCAGTATTTCCCTGGACGAACACTTTCACAATGAGAGTCCCTCCAAACACGGCGTGATTAGCGCGAGACGTAAAGCGTGAAATAGTAGAATTTAAAATTTATAATATAATTAAATAAGTTGTCATATGCCCAACCCCTACTGTAAGGTAAGCACGACAGGGCGCGACATAAAGCGCGAGATGGTGCTATTATGTCGCTCCCGCGCAAGTCGCGCCCTGTCGTGCTAACCCTACAGTAGGGGTTGGGCTTTTCACATGTTTACCAAGAATTGTAAATCTCCTATGACGTACATGTTTTATCACGATGTT